CTCGCACATCACAAGCACAACACGACAACAAAACAAACTACACATCACTGATTCCTTTCAATACACCTCTCCATATCGCCAACATTCACCACATTCTTCAACAAACCCCAAATTATCATCAAACTACACAACATAACGCACTGACAACACATATTCACAATAACTAAATCACAAAATCACTATCCTCAACTACAATTCATACAACTCAACTACTGCACTGACAATCTCACCTCCATCCACCACATAGTCGCTCACATTCATCTACAACAACACCAGCATTTCAACACTGCTCCCAGTCACCCCCTCCTCCTCACTACACAGCCACATTAATATCCACAAACACATACAAGTCACACTCACCATGCTCAATCAACCATTCACTAACCGAAACACACATAACACCATCATGACCATCACAAGCACCAACGACAACAGTAACCACAGAAGCAAAAGCAACAGCAGCAGCAGCAGCAGCAGCACGAGATGCTGCTCCAATAGCCGAAACAGCAGCAGCAGCAACAACAACAACACATGTGCACACACACTAATCACCGAAAAAAAGAACAAACCAACTAACTGAACAACGCACTCACAGAAGCGCACACTAAACCTCACACACGCACGAAACCCAACTACCACAACATCGATTCACCTGCATGCATATATCACAATTATCAGATCAATACCGTCAGCACTGTCGACTCTCAGACTGGGGCGGTATCATTATTCATCATTGTCCACAAACACACACACACACGCACACACAAATAACATAATCTTTATCATAATAAAATCAACAATCAAACACTCACCTGAGCAACTACTTCGGTCCATCTCACTCGGAAACTAACTGTATCACCGAATGTCATTCAACAGAATCCACTGTCAACATCAACAACCACACTGAAACAAAAAAAAACAACACAAATCCTCTCACATTAAAACGCCCTGGCAAAACCTAAACAGTATCGACAATCCACTCCATTCAATGAAACTCAACACTCGCACATCACAAGCACAACACGACAACAAAACAAACTACACATCACTGATTCCTTTCAATACACCTCTCCATATCGCCAACATTCACCACATTCTTCAACAAACCCCAAATTATCATCAAACTACACAACATAACGCACTGACAACACATATTCACAATAACTAAATCACAAAATCACTATCCTCAACTACAATTCATACAACTCAACTACTGCACTGACAATCTCACCTCCATCCACCACATAGTCGCTCACATTCATCTACAACAACACCAGCATTTCAACACTGCTCCCAGTCACCCCCTCCTCCTCACTACACAGTCACATTAATATCCACAAACACATACAAGTCACACTCACCATGCTCAATCAACCATTCACTAACCGAAACACACATAACACCATCATGACCATCACAAGCACCAACGACAACAGTAACCACAGAAGCAAAAGCAACAGCAGCAGCAGCAGCAGCAGCACGAGATGCTGCTCCAATAGCCGAAACAGCAGCAGCAGCAACAACAACAACACATGTGCACACACACTAATCACCGAAAAAAAGAACAAACCAACTAACTGAACAACGCACTCACAGAAGCGCACACTAAACCTCACACACGCACGAAACCCAACTACCACAACATCGATTCACCTGCATGCATATATCACAATTATCAGATCAATACCGTCAGCACTGTCGACTCTCAGACTGGGGCGGTATCATTATTCATCATTGTCCACAAACACACACACACACGCACACACAAATAACATAATCTTTATCATAATAAAATCAACAATCAAACACTCACCTGAGCAACTACTTCGGTCCATCTCACTCGGAAACTAACTGTATCACCGAATGTCATTCAACAGAATCCACTGTCAACATCAACAACCACACTGAAACAAAAAAAAAACAACACAAATCCTCTCACATTAAAACGCCCTGGCAAAACCTAAACAGTATCGACAATCCACTCCATTCAATGAAAAAAAAAACTCAACACTCGCTTATCACAAGCACAACACGACAACAAAACAAACTACACATCACTGATTCCTTTCAGTACACCTCTCCATATCGCCAACATTCACCA